AACCCCATCTACCATTATTACAACTACCACAACCATCTCAACCACTACCATTAATGATGCTATCATTAGGCCTACCGCATCCACTTCTAAGCCGACCATTGCTACGGCTACCACTAGCCGGTCTACAACTACAAAGTGTTAGTTTAACAATTAACACCCCTGTTACAAACTATTATAAGGTTATTTAAGAGACGGAAGCTCCAATTTTACATCCACGTTCGATAGAAACGAAAAGCAGTTTGAGAACAGTAGGCTAAAGAGAGAAAAGGTAACGCTGAGTATTTCCAAAATAAACCAACACCACGAGGACCAACATCAACACGTACATGAACACATGGCATTGACAACAGTAGTGCTCGTGCTGACAGCACGCTGTAGTAAATTGTACACAACTTGCCTGACTTGTCAGCTGGTGAATTTTCTCTAGCCCGAGCCAGAAATTACCATAGAGGTCTCCGAATCCCTTCTTATAGTCCGCCCAGCCACGGAAAAAGTCCTCGTCGGCCGAAGCGCGTCTCTATAAAAATAAAAGAATATTATTACCATACGCCAGTTTCTATGGCCTAGTATCACTAAGCATACTAAGATAATATATTCACATTGTTTGAGTAATCAGCCTGAGCTTTTAACAACTTCTAAAGTGAGACTAAAGTCACCAGTAGGCCTAACATTTCAGGACAGTAAGTACTCTGCGCTGAATGACAACTTCAATGTTATTGCGCTGCTTTGTCCTTTTTCACTTGCTATTTCCTGCTTATTAAGTTGCAAAAAGGTTAAAAAATTACACCCAAACATGTCGTTGTGGATGTACAGTGATGTACGTACTATTCACACATTTATTTTTACTGCTTGGAGAATCGCTGAGCAGCAAGCAGCCTGTATAACAATAAAATAATGCTGATCTCACATGTATTGTATCAGCATGTTTAACAGTAAAATAATGCTGACCTCAGCTGTACTGTACTAGCCTTTACTCACCTGTATCACGATCCAACCACCTTGGTCCGTCACTGTGTCACAGACTACACGCTGACCGCTAGAGAGACGGATCACAGGTCGGGGGCCCAAACCCTTAGCACTAGCTCAGAGCTGGGGCTGAAGAGAAATTCAAGGAGAAAAATTTGATGAATGGCAGTGGGAAATGGCGGAATGGAGGTGTGAAGTTTTGCAGATGCATCATACCAACAAGTTCTGAGAGAGTTTAGGGCTCAATGAAGTATTGTGTTTCAGTACTGACACTGGCGCAGCCAATTCCCCAGTATATTCCATTAACCAGTCAACCACTTTACCACTCAGTCAGTCAGCCGGTTTTCAACCAGTCACTTTATCAAAATACAGGCTGGATCAATCAGTTTATCACACTCTCCATCAATCAATTTACCACATTCTCTCTCCATGAATCAATTTATCAATACGCCATTAACCAATTAATCACACTCTCCCTTAACCAGCTTATCAAACATCCCATCAACCAGTTTATCAAGAGACAATTCAGTTTCAGTATAATAATATAATATATATTTTAGCTTTAGTAAGAGTTTTACGGCACTTGCAACACAATAAGGTCATATAAGTGCCGAAGAATAGATTATGTGTTACAAGAGAGTAACATACACAAAAAAGAAGGAGGAGAGATAAGGACAACAGATGTTTAATGAGAAAGAAGGA